ACTTGCGTAAACATTTTGTACTTAAGTACACACCCAGTGACCCGGATCCTCCTGACTTGTCTCTTCAAATTCTATGTTCTGGGGTTGATGGGCCTCTACGCAAACCTGACCTCATCTCTGTACTTGAGATCCAAAATGTTTGAATACGTGCAAAACAGGTAAATCGTGTGGGGACGACGGTGTCTCTTATGAATTTCTTTCGGCAATTGTTTCTTCTGACTTGGCTCAACATTTCGCTGACTTTTTTAACTCTGTCCTTTTCGGTGTCGTACCGCTGCCTGAGTCCTGGCTTCTCTCTAGACTTACTTTTCTCCCGAAAGTACCTTTGCCGTCTTCACCTAAACACCTTCGTCCGATCGTTCTTTCCTCTGTCGTTGGGAAAGTTTTCACGAAAATTCTTCTGTTTCGCATGCGCCCTCATTTTCCCCTTCCCATCGCTAATCAGTTGGCTTGCATTAAAGGTTCCCAGACTTTAGACGGGTCAGCTTGTCTGCAGCACATCGTCCCTTTGAGCCAGGAATATCGTCTGCCGTTGATCGTTGTAAAGCTCGACGTCGCGGCTGCGTTTGACACCCTTTCTCATTCTGCGATCGCTCGCTTTCTCTCTGTCTGTGGGAATCATGTTGAATCACATCTCCTTCTTCGCATCATTCTCCTTTCGAGGGTCGTTATTGGGCTGTCAGATGTCTCTTGGGAGCAACGTTTGCTTTGTGGTGTGCTTCAGGGCTCGTCTTACTCAGCAGAAATTTTTGCACGGACCATTGACTATTTTCTCGGCCAACTTGTCTCCAAATGGGAAACTACTGAGCCTACATGGGTTCAATCAGCAGATCCTAATGGTACCTTCCGCTCGCTTTATAACCTCCTTTTCGCGGATGACATAATTCTTTTAGCCACTTCTTATGATCAAGCTGCCCGTATGTTGGACGATATCATGTCCACACTCTCAACTATTGGGCTTCATCTTGCACTTGATAAGTGTAAGTTTATTGTGTCCCCCGATCTAGGTGTTCGACATCTTACTGTTCGGGATGTTGAGGTTAAGCATGTCTCTGTCTTTAAGTTTTTGGGAGTGTTAATTGGGTTCCGACTTTCGTGCCAAGCTGTCCTGAGTGCTCGTCTTTCCCTTGCGCATAATTCGTTTTGGGGGTACTATAAGATCCTTAAGCGCCCCGCTGGCACGATTAAGACGCGTTTGTATCTCTTCGACACTTTCATAACCTCAAAGTGGAGATGGTTGGCTCCTCTTCTCAGGCCAGTCACGGACATACACAATATGCTTTTAGTCACACAAACTACCCTTCTCACTTCAATTTGTGGCCTGTCGAGTGACCCGTTTGTAACTTTGTCTTCCAACTGGGTAACCAGAAGAAGGGCGAGTCGTATGGTGGCTCAGGCGGTAGGTCATAAACAATGGCCGGGTATCCAGACACTAGCTTTCTTTGGCTACTGGGGGCATGTCGCTCGGCTTTGGACATATAGGTATTCTCCGATCACAGTTGCATTGCATATTCGTAATTCATATTGGTTGCAAGCTTTTGGCCGCACACTTCGGCGCCAACTTGGCTATTGGCCTAATTCATACCGTTTTTTGCAATTAGCCTATGAATCTTTGCACCCTGTTCCCACTATACCATTCTGGGAAGACTTTGCATTACAAAAAGAAGATTGGAGGATGTTTGTCCAAATGTGGCTAACTAAGAAAAACCTTTTGCCTACCAAATTCTATGATGACTTGGGTCAGGTTGATTTAGACGGCAGATGTCTGCTACAAGTCGGCGATCGCTTTAAGTTACTCCCCTTTAGGCACGTCCCAGTCGAGCAGCCGTATGGTACATCATTTGAATTGGTGGAAGAACCACAAATCGAACAAGACTGTTCCTGCTTCCAGATTTGTTCAGACGGGGGCTCTAAGTCGAATAAGGGATCTATAGCTGTCACCATCCTTTCTCCGTATGCCCCACTTGAGCAAGCAATGATCTTCCAAGCTAAAGTCAAGGAGCCCTGTTCCAATATCAGAGCTGAACTTTTGGCAGCAGTTGAGGCTTGTAAACATATTAAAATATTACTACGTCACTACCCCACTATCCCTTTTGTTTATATGACTGACTCAATGTTGGTAATTCAGGTGTTGGAAGAGTTTGCGGCAGTAACATGTCATCCTCACATTGTACATGAGCTTATGCATTTGTGGAGACAGATCTGTCGTTTCGGAAAAGTGGTCCATGTTAAAGGCCATTCAGGACATCCCCAGAACACTTTAACAGATAAAGCAGCCACTGAGGCCCTGGGGTTTGTGCACTTTCGCCGTGTCCACAGAACAGTTTCCTTTAACAAGGTCTACATGACCCTACATAATCAACCATTCCCTGCATTCCAGTCATGGATATGATTTCCAGCCCCACTAGCTGTTGTTGACTCAGGTTCTTGTTACAGAGGGGGGGGGGGCAGGACGACTCATAAAAGCCCATCCAGAGCCTGCAGTGTTCAAGCGATAGTGCCCTCACCCATCTCTCAAGAGAATCATGGCAGCGCGCTCTGATTCCATGACGGAGTCGATGCAGTCAGTAATGCTGGGGCGTGTTACTGAAGCGTTCTGGTGTGCCGTGGAGTGGAGCTTTCACTATTTTGATTTTTGTGTCTTCGTGCTCCTGCTGCTTGCAGTTCTATGGCATGTTCGGAAGCTCCAAAAACGTGTAGTTCTTGCAATTGAGTCAGCACGACAGCAGATGGAAGATCTTCATGAACAACAAATTGCCAAAGTCCTCCAGATGCTTGCTGAACGCCCGTTCTCGGGCGGAGCCACCTCGGCGGGTCAAGATGACTTCCTGAGTGATTTTCGCACTCAGCTGAAGAACTTTGAGGATGAGAACACGGTCATTAAGAATCACCTCGTCAGCCTCAAAAGCAGCGTGAGTCAAATTGCTGGATTGCAGGTGGAAGTTGGTGAGGTCAAGAAGGGACTGTCGGCATCGGCAGCACAACTACTTAAGCTCACCAACGAGCACCAAGCGGTCTCGGGGAATATCAAGCACCTGATGGACGACAACTCCAAACTGAATGATGCCTCTGCAAAAGGCCTGAGCCAGATGAGGAAGCAGTTGGAGGATGTTGCTCAGAAGTTTGAAGCCTTGAAGTTGGAAGAAGTCAATGACAAGCTGATCCGAGTGGACACAAAGCAAGGTCAAGAACTGGATGCACTACGCGCACTGAGTAATGACCTCAGTGTGGTGAAGACGGTGTTGGAACGTCGCATTGATTCACTTAAGAGCGACAACAAAGATGCCTATGGGTGGATAAGCTCCAATATTAGGGGCCTCAACCCGGTCGTCACCATGACCAAGAAGATCCAAGATGCGGTGGACAGGCTCGAGTATGCCGTGCATGAAGTTCATCAAGGGGGCAATGGACAAGGTGAGACGCTAGCCAACTGCGAAGACAGGCTAGTCAGGGCGGAAAGCCTCCTATCTGGCTTGATAGACCAGGTTAACGACTTCGATGGTCGTAGCACAGCAAGCTCTGACGCCATCGCGGCTGAGCTCCCGCTTCTGGTCGAGATTCGCGATCGACTACCCAAGCTGCCTCACCGTAAGCCGCCCTCGGGTGACCGTCCGCCAGAGAACCCATCCAGCAGCTCTACGAGCCAGAGTGGATCGCTACCTCAGCAGCAGCCACCGCAGGGAGTCCCACAGGCACTTGGTCCGCAGACTATGCCGCCGATCCAGATCATCACGCAGCCACCCCAGCAGGAGATACCGCAAGGAGGCAGCATCCAGTTGAAGTTGTCGGACCATGTCGGAGCCCTCACGCCAGCTACCCGCCCGAATACTATCTTCGTTCAGCAGCCGAACACCTCTGGGAGCGTGCTGGTTCAGGAGGCAACAAATGAGGACCTCATGAGAGCGCTGTTGCGCCGTAGCACATAGTTCATGCGGGGCATCGATGTGACCTTCTAGGCTTCTGTCAATCAAGATGTTTGATATCTTTTGAAGGATGCAACCGCATAGCCAAGCAGCCCGCTCCCACACAGAGGGACGTTTTGGCTGCAGTACAACGAAGTGTAACGCGACCTAATTCTTTGCATGACTGCTGCCTCTAATTCGTAATATATTGCATGCACGCCAAAACCACCATTGTAATTTGTAATTTGTACTGTAAATTCGTAATTTGCGTGCAAACGCATTTTAATTCACTCGGAGTCCCGAAGCATGACTCAGTGGTGTAATTTGACTCGACTACTTGTCGTCTAATTTGAAGGTCGCACCTTACACGCACCGAATCCCAGTGAGGCAAAATAGCACCGAAGGAATGATACGGTGGGAGTTGTCACATGTTTTCAGCAGGCAGCTCTAGCGCTTCCAAAGCAGCTCTAGCGCCCACAGCTCTTCAAACTCAGTGATGTGTTTCGCGATTAGGCTCCAGCAACAAGGGCAGAGGTAGCCCCGTGTTTTCCGCACATCCGTAGCTACACTGTCCGTATGCAGCATCCGGAACCTGAAGAGGAGGATGATGAAGATGTTGTCATGACTGAATGCATGATTCACCCGACACAGCAAGATCCGGACTCAGCTCTCTCATGTGTGATGATTGACTCTGATTCGGATGATGACATGAATGACATGGGCCTTGACTCACAAGCCATTGTAAAGCTTTCACGAGCCTTGGGAGTTGACTCCAAAGTTGTTCCAGTTGAGACGTTGGCATATAGTTTTCTCTGTAAACACCGGCGTGGAGAACCTTTACTTAAGACCCAGATTTTGGAAGTTTGGGATGCCATTCCACGGCGCTATCTACGCAGAGCAGGGCAAGCTTCAGCTTCCACTTCAGCTTTGCCTTCAGCCTCACGTCTTTTGGTGTTAGGAGTGAACCCGAGAGCCACCAATAGCTTTACTAGAGCCAGTCAAGATATGCCCCATGTTCATGACCTTCTTCAATCCTTTGTTCAACAGGTTGTGCCGGGATTTGCTCATTCAAGTCTTGTAATACGGCAAAACTATCTTGCACCACCCCATAGGGACGTGAAGAACGTTGGTCCGAGCCTAGTCCTCTGTCTCACTACCCATACATCAGGAGGAGGCTTGTGGATTGCAGACACCACAGGGGATGCAAAGGTAGTTTTTGAGGGGACCAGTGTTTCCGGCCGCATTATTGATGTGAGCAGTCCGTACGTTTTCTATGCGGGGTCTAGACTTCATGCCACCCAGAAATGGGCATCCAATGAGAGACGGGTGCTTCTTACAGCCTTCTCGCCACTAGGGGCCCTTAAGCTTCCCCACCAATCCACACAGCAGCTCAGGGAGTCAGGTAATAGGGTTCAGAGTCGCATTCCGGACTATTTTCGGTCCCTTGAATGTGTTGAGTAATCAAGTAGCTTTCCTCTGGCAGGACAGTGGCAGTTGAATTTGGAATTCGGAAACTTTGGAACTTTGGGATGAATTCAAAGTGGAGTCTGCATGCATGTAATTAGTAATTTGTAATTTGTTGGTGCTACCTCTGCACCAAATCCCAAACTGCACACAATTGGTTCCTACCAGCCCCAAACAAATGGTACTGCACTTCATGATGCACCTAATTCAATGCCCCTGCCAATTGCAAGCTGCCTCTTTAGGACCTGACTCTAATTGAATGCCTGACCCCATGCTTCCTTGCCGCCTGGCTGCATTTAAGATGACTGGTGTGTGATGCAACGATGACGGGCAATGAAAACCCCAAAAACCAGAAACAATACTATGCCTGCTTGCACCACGCAACCACCTTGTCATCGCGATGCTTTGCCACCATCAACTCCGACCGCCCAAACTCTGCCAGGAGGTTCCTTGAATTATGTCCTATCCCTCCCAGAATTTAAGGTTTAATAGGATGTAGGCTCCTCCCTTACATGCCTACCTTTCCCTTGTTTGCCGGAGCCTGAAGCCCAGCAAACCTCATGGAGGGAACTCATGTCGGGATGTTCAGCCATGGATCTCTGTGCCTCTGACTTTCCCTGCGAATGGATCCTGGTTTGCTGAAGAGCGTTGCAACTGGAATCCTGTTCTGCTAAGGGCCGAAAGAATTCTGGAGAGTATGTGGAACGGTCTGTCAAAACAGCACCATTCTTGAAGTGAGTGACATGATGGCTGATGACTTCACTGCAGGGCACCCAATAAACATCAAGGCTTCAAATCAGCAGCATGAGAGTGGGCAAGCCGCTTTTTGGGCTGCTTGGATGAGTCTTTATTGACAGAGATCGTTTTGGAGGGAAGTCAGACTATTGGTACACAGGCCAGCATGGCTTTTCAAGGACTGCGAAGCTGGGTACCAATAGTGTTTCTTGTCGCAAACGATGCTTCTGGTGCTCCTGTGTCTCAGTGCCCCAGACCATGAGAAGGCTGAGGTCAGAGCTGTTTTTTACGGCGCAGACGTACAAAGAATGCGGCGTCACTGCCGGAGGAAATACTCAGTTTCGGGACACAGGGTATTCTGGCTGGTTTTCTGCATGTGTGAGCTAATCTGCCAGTTTCTCGTGATGAGCACTCTACAGAACCGAAAGATGGGTGAGGAGAATAGTGAACAAAGACTACGACTGGAGTAACTCAGATGAGGAGATGACGCATAATTCCGGCATTTTGCTGGCATGCAAGTTGAAGATGCATGCGACGAAGACGCATAGCACGGATCCTCAAAACGAAGATCCAATAGTATCAGTAACTCATGATTCTTTGGATGTCGCTTAGTCGCTCTATTCAACCTCGCTTGTGAGCTTTGTTCTCTGCCATGCGAGAGGGAAAAAACCCTAAACCCTTATCTCTGATTTCGAGGTCTTGGGCTCCAAGCACAAAGTCAAAGCCCGAAGCCCCAGGACTTCCACGTGGAATGGGCTGAGCCCAGCTCTTCAGCCCTAGGCGGAGTGCATACAACGTACCTATAGTAAAGTCTCAATTGCTGTTCCTTTTTGTTGGGTTACGCTTTAGGCTCCAGTGGAGACGTAGGTAGAACTTAGGATTTAGGCTTCAGCGATCTATTGGAGGACTCCACACGAGGGCATTCTTGAAGATGTCTGTAGTTTTCGTTTAGTATAATCTTACAAAAGGAAAAACTAATTTTCAAGGGGTTCCGCAGGACTGCCCAGCATCGTTACACAATGTTACACAGGTTCATGCCAGCTTTGAGGATATATTTGGAGTTGGGATTTCGAGGGGGTGCAGAACAAGCACGATATGCGTTTACGACGAAGCTCTCAGGTGCTTCAGGCAAGCCTTTCAATGTATAGACACGGCCCTGCTGAGCACGGAAACGATGGTGTTGGCCGAGCTTTTCGGTACAATGTAATTTTCTCTATCTCAGAGCTTGGGGCTGCAAAGATTCGTAACCTTACGAACCGAGAACGGTTAGATTACATACAGACACGGTTTGCCCCAAAACATGTCCTGTGGAGTACATGCTTCCACGAAGTTCACAGTTAAATTTTTCCTTGCAACTACTAGAACAAGCCTGGTCTACAACCCATCTTATATCACGATGGAATGTGTTTAACTCTGCACAGCCCACAGCCAAAACAGCATGCCACATGCCTCCTGCACTTCTTTGAAAGGGAAGCTAGGGCCCCTAAACTTAAACCTAAACCCTAAACCGAGCCCTTAAACACTAAAGAAGCTAGGCTTGGGCGGTTTTCAAAAAAACGAAACTCAAACCCCAGAAGAAAGAAACTCTAACATGCCTTCCCTGGAGAGTCGGAGCATGAGGTCATAAGCCTTACACTACCGTAATGTATTACAACAGTATAATATGACATCATACCATATAGTAATATAGTTCCATATGGTATCCTTAAACTCTACACCAGAGGCCTTCGTCCAGCAAAGCCTGATGCCATCCATGCGTCAGGTTCGGACCCGTCTCGCTCGGTGCCAGCTGCCTGAATTAGGGGCTTTGTGTGTGGCAGGCAAGCTTTCAGTATCCGCTTAGGGTTTAGTGTATGCTGGTTGGTTGCTGTCACATGTCAGCTCTACGCCAACCCCTTACTTAGTTTCGGTTTTGCGCGACCCACAAGCAGTCAAACCTGGGCTTTGGGCCTTACTCTTGCTTCTCGTGCCTCCGACTATGGTCCCGGTGATGAATCTTCTAAACGTCCTAGTGCGATCAGTTGTCATGTTGCATCAACAGCGAAGTATCCTCAATGCTCACGGCCAGAATCCCGTACGATAGTTCTTGAAAGTCGAAGCCCTATCAATCAAATACAATAGTTTCCGACAAGCAAGGCCCCCAAAACCCGTAAACTCAGCAGTATCACACCCAAACCTCCGAAAGCCCAAAACCCTTAGACTCCTAATCCAACTGGTCAATGGTCCTTTGACTGGCTTCTTGCATCATTAACACTTGAGTTTCCTCGTGGTGTTGACTTGAACCGAAACCTGTAGTGCGAACGCGAACCGAGAGACCTCGCTTGGCTGCGTCCGAGTTGTGAGAGCGTAAACTCCTAAGCCCCATTCCCTGCGGAAACCCCGTCGATTCCTTGTAAGACCCCTGCAAAGATTAAAGGAAGCTTTGCAGTACATAAGCCTACTGTAGTAAGTCCCGTCCCAGAGCACGAGTAGACGTAGTAATACGGGTTACATGCAAGGCAGCTATAATTTCATGTGCTTGCGTCGATCCCAATTACGGTACTTGCAAACCCACATATTCCGTCCCCTGTACCCCTAAGTCTTCCCTAAATCCTGTAATGCCCCACCCCTTAATTTAATCCTCCAAGCAACATGCTTTCTAGAACCCTCAGAGGCTCCTTTTCAGAATCGAAATAAACCTGTTCTAACTAGTATGTCTTAAATCAGTCACAGAAATGCCTTAAAAAGGAACCCTTTAGGAGGAGCCCTGGTTTATCGATTTCGGGGCGTAGATCAACCACCCTATCAAACCCCTTCACAAAGCGCCATAAAAACACCGGAACCCCTTCCAAAATGCTGTCGGACTCGAAAAAAACCGGGAGCCCCCGCATAAACGTTATTAGAGTTCCTGAAAAATATCCTGTATCTGAGGCTATGGGCCGGCCACCGCTGGCCCTTCCCACGCTTCGGGGCCGAAGTCTTCAGCACCCCAGCCGAAGAAATATGTGTTGCTTCTTGTGGGTTGAATGAAGGTTTAGGGGTTTTAGGGTTTAGGACCCTAGCGTGACGTTGCAAGCCAGTGGCCCAAAAAAGCGGGCCTAGGGTTGTTTCTGGTGGTAGGTATGTTATTGACTTGTATGTGTAGGGTGTCTGTCGGGCCTCAGGGCCTTCTGGAGGGCTTGTGTCTATGTCTTATACATAGGGCTTCTGTAGAGCTTTGCTGGGTTCTTGTACTATAGTATAAACCCCACAATGTGGTTGAACCAGGGTTTCACAGCGCTTTCTGGTTTTAGGGTAGGATCTAAGGGGGTTAGATTCGAGGTCTGGAGTTTGGGACATCAATCGTAGATACTCATGTCAATCCAAGAGCAGTTGATGGACCAAAGCTTGTACTATGGTGGTCTGAATAGTTGTAGATATGCCATAATCGACCCCATGACTCAATTTGAATTGTTGAGGCGCTATATTACATCTCCACGACCAGCGCGTGATTTAGCATTGAAAATGTTCGGACAGAGCGCGGGGCCCGCGAAAAGTAGGCACAGCCCACAAACCTATGCTCGAAAATCCATCGTTGTGCTATGATACACCCCACAACCCTATTCCAAGTAATTGTTCATGTCCTTACAACGTCCGCTTTGCTGGCCGCAATGCTGGGCACTGGCAAGGAGCCCGTTTCACCGACTACGTTAGCAGCTTGCCCCATGGGGACCAGAACGTGAAGAAGAAGGCCTCTTCAGGGCTGGAGTTTGCATGAACACGAAAAATTTACTCCGAAAGATAATGGAGCATACTACAGTTTCCCGGTTTTGTGTTCGTCTTTTTGGTTTTGGAACTCTGTGGTGTATGTCAGTACCATGAAGCAAGCATAGGGAGAATGAGGGATGTGATAGCTTGATTGCATGCCATGGTAGTATCGTAGGCTAGGAATGAAATCTGTGGATGGCTGTGCCATTCGCCGAGATCATGTGAGAGTAGCCATCTGTGGCGCTAGCTTATGACTCAACGGCAGCTTCTCCAACATTTCTACTGCCTGCTAGCACCGAAACGAACACCAGCAAAGCCTTGCCAAAAGCAAAATCGCTTATAGTACCCCTCACAGTAACACCGTTGGCACCTGCACAGGAACCCTTATAGTAGTCCTTCGAGCAGTAGTGGACATCAGCTAGAAGCCTTCGCCGAAACGCGGCAAAAAATGGAACAGAAGTCTTCAACGCCTGAACTCCTAAGCTCCCAAAGCCCTAAACCCTAAACTTTATAAGCCCTTAAACCCTGAACTGTAAACCCCTGAAACCCTGAACCCCGAAGGCTCCCAAGCTTGCGTCCCCTTGACCGCCAGCTTCTCGGCTTTTGCGATTTCTACCGGCCACGTTCCCCTCCATCTTGGCGCGAGGCATCTCCATTTGCTTTTAGTGCTGCCAGGTTTTGGTTCCTAGGGCTCAAGCCAACGGCAGCAAACATTGAAACCCTAAACCCTAAACCCTAAACCCTAACATGAATTTGACACTTGTTCTTGTTGCTCTTAGAAGTTAGCCTTGGAACCGAGTGCGATGTGCTGCAGGGAACCTGCCCGAGCGAGCATTCAGCAAGCCTGTGTAGAAAGGGTTCCAGGGCTGACGCTTCTTCGTCTTCTACCATGACTGATTATATTGTATATATACATACATACAGACTTCTGCTGCTCGGCGAAAGCTTCAGGACCTCAGTGAGAGCGCCGCTGCCAATGCCACGGCGCATCTCTGCGGGCCCCTTTGGGTGAATGTCGGGCTAGGGCATAGTCGGACTGCAGAGAAAAATACGATCTTACCTTAGTAGCACCCGAGTCACGAACTCCACCCGCCATGTCCCATTCTAAGGCTTGGATAGGAAAGCTCGAAGACATAAATGCGTTTTCTTCCTGTCGTTTGTGTCAGCAACAGAAGAAATTGTGCTACATCTCTAGAGAGAGTCTCCTCTGGTGACAACTGTCACTCGCTGGTGATAATCTGGAGGCAGTGCCTATGATGTGGAAGAGAAGCTAGGAGTTATGAGCCATCCAGAAATCCGTTTAGGTTCGCTTAACCAGTTCGAACACGTAATTCGCGCCGCGCACAAAAAGGACGTACAGGCGATGAAACCCATGATAACCCTTATGATCGTAGCTACTCTCCAGGTCAACGGCATTGGCGCTGATCGAAAACTACATAGCTTCACGAAGAGTTGTTCGATATGCCCAGCGACGTAGCTGTACAAGATAACACTGAGTTCAGGTGATGAGTACTTCATGAATATGGATATAGTTGAGAGCAATGAGTGTCAGTTAGCTCAGCAACTTGTATACACTGAATGCCGGGATTCCGGGGGTTATGAACCGATAAAGCTCCCATTAACATTAGAAGCATGGCCCATCAATGTAGGCATGTAGGGCTGCAGGGTTTATTAAGGCACAGCCCCTAACCCTCAACCGTACCAACATTTGGCTACAGGATCCTCCCACCTGAAGGTGCCGTGTTTAGAGCTGAGCAAAAGGATAGGTAGTTTTGCTTTGACCGAAACCAAGAGGTCTAGGATTGGTGGCTTCGGCTTTCTATGGCTGTGGGCCTTGGTACCGAAAAGAGTTTGTAGAAGGTCAAGCAAATCGAGGTTTCTCGTGAGGTTGAGAGACCTAGATTCGACCTCAAGCCCACTGCAACCCTACACGCTGAACCTTGTCCCTAAATGACCTGAGCTCCAAACGGGAAGCCTCACGATAGTTGAGCCACAAACAACTTGCAGTATTAAGGATTGTTTAAAGAAGCCTCAACAGCTACGTTTTATCAGGTTCCGGCAGACCCTAAACCCCCTATGACGTGCTCAGGTCTACCGTATTCTGATATGACCTACAACAAAACCGTATAAACGCCATGTGCAGGACCCAACTCTGATCCTTAAGGTCCTTATACTAACCCCTATTGCAGCCCCTTTACAGGCAACACCCTCAAAGAGACCGCTATCTTGGAACCTTATAGTACCGTAATGGTGCCCCCTTACAGGGAACCCTAGTATACAACCCTATAATGTCCCTGAGAGGGAACCGCATTATAGAACCCTGCAGCATCCCTTGCCCTAAGCCCTAAACCCTAAACCCTTAAAGGAAGCCACGGCTGGCTTAGGTCCGCACTTCGATCTGAGGGCTATTTCAGCTTCTGCGAGCTCTGCAGCGATTCCAGCAAGGTTCAGGGTTTCGGGTTTTTGCGTCCAGTAGCAAAAAGAACAAGGCTTCAGGGTTAATAGAAATTGTTGAAGGTTCGAGTGCCGAAAACGGTTTGACCGAAAGTTTTGGAGCCTGATTTCTGATTTGGGGCTGGGCTAGGGCTGCTGTGGCAGGGCTGAAGCTGGGTCTGGGGTGGCGTTAGGGGAGCTAGGAGCATTAATGATTATAATGGGTTTTGGGTTCCTTTATAATATGTATAGCTATAATAAGGAACGCTAAGGATAGTGTTGGTTTTATTTTAGGTTTCTACAGTATCCACCATGTATTGGGACCATGGCCTACTGCTTTAGCGTTACACTCTATAGCCATGGGGTCATAAGTCATAACCCACAGTCTGCAGGGTTTGGGGCGACAGGTCGTGCTATGGTTTAGGTCAGTTGTAGTTGGTCTTCGGCTTTAGGTCATTTAGAATCTTTTCCAAAGTCCAGAGTTTGGTGGTTGAATCTTTAGATTCAGATCGGCACAAACGTGACAAGAACAAACAGGAACGTCTTCAGCACAACCTCGTGTAATTGTGGCTTTGGATTTGCAAAGTGTTATTTCAACGTGGAGGAGTCTTACTAGGCCAAGGCTTCCAACTTACATCTTCCAACTTCACGCAGGGTTTCAGGATAGGTTTGTTTCGTGCATTGCAGCGGAACCGGGCACATGGAGCCACGTTGCTTGTATGTGGCTCATACTCGTTTCCTTTGCAGTTGTCGTGTTTTGTACCAAGCATTGGGCACCACCTCAACATGTAGCATTTGCTTTGCGTGAGTGGCGGATGTGTGTGGCAGTTTTTGGTCAAACAGCGGAATCGCGTTGTCATGTGAAGAACCAATGTGTGCAAAGACTACGGATAATGATTTTCCATGCGCACTATGTGGTTCTTGGGATATGCATGGAACAGTGCCCATCTGCAAAAGTAACAGAACAGGAACACCTGACACTGGTCGCCATATTGGTTCCACCATCTGTGGTTCTGCCTCTTCGCTTGGACAAGGACCTGACAGCGCAGAGCATTCGAAGATGAAGTTCACACTTCTTGATGGCGGCATGGGGCTTGAGCTCAAGGAACGTAAAGCTGCAGGAGAAGATGTTGCATATTCCTTGGAGCTGTTCTCAACTGCAACATTACTTGAGACGCCCCAAGCAGTTGTACAATTGCACGAAGACTACATCAAAGCAGGTGCCACAGTGATTACAACTGCCTCGTACGCAGTGACCCGGTTCTACTTGGACAAAGTTGGTCAGGCATGTCGTGTGAAGGAACTCAACCAGTTGTGTGTTGCCTTGGCAAGGAAGGCCATCGCCGCAACAGACAGCGCCTCGAGCGTTTCGGTCGCTGGTTGTGTGCCACCACTGTCAGAAAGCTATCGGGCAGACCTCGTGCCGCAGGATGGTCAACTGAAGGAACAATACGCGGAGATCATCGACTCATTGACGGGATCAGACATTTTCCTGTGTGAGACCATGTCGTCCATGCGTGAGGCTGCAGTGTCCGTGCCGATGTGCGTTGCGACGGGAAAGCCAACATGGGCTTCATTCACTTTGAAGCATGACAAGGAGGACCGCTTATGCATCCCTGATGACACCGATGTTGAAACAGTTGTCAAGAAGACCGTGGAGATGGGTGTCGACGCCGTGCTTTTCAATTGCTGCGCGCCCGAGCTGATCTCAGAGGCACTACCCAAAGCTTCAGCTGCCCTAAACGGAGCTTCGTATGTCAGGCTCGGAGGTTATGGCAATGCTTGGGAGGAATGTGACCGTGACCACTGGACAATTGATCAAAACGAATCGCATGTGGGTGCCAATGACCACGGGACACATGGCATGGTGGTAAGGGACCTTCGTGAGGAACACTACGTGGAGCAAGTTCAGGAATGGCTGCAGAGTGGGGCGAGCATTGTTGGAGGTTGCTGCGGCATCTCACCATCCCATATTCGGGCCATCTACCAGGACATGAACCCACAGCGTGCCAGTGAGCATGAATACCAGTGACTGAGATGCTACCAAGCTGGAGGCGGGGGCTATCTCGCAGTGGGTCCCAGTGTGTGTGACGAGTACAGATGAGTCATGCATGTCTGATGTACAGCTAAAGAGTGTTCTGCAAAGATGTCAATATGTACATCTTCGCCCGCACATTTTGGATGTTTCAAGTGCCACTCGTTCTTCTCCAACAATGAGACCATTTAAAGGGCTCAAATCTGCATGGAGCTGCCGAAGATGCTTAATGCCCAAAAGGCGTGTGTTTGAATGCTACTGTGGCATGTCTAACATGTAAAGGGTCGAGAAAGTGTTGAGAAGCTTCAGTTGGATCAGGTCCACTAGCGTTTAGGATGCAAGAGCTTTCCAGTCTATGTCTGCTCTGAAGTGTCTGGCCGCCGTATTCTTCAGCCTGACTTGGAAGTAAAAGCCGGAGTAATTTTGGGTTTAGGGTATAGGGTTTCTGGCTGTACTTGGTCCGTATATAATCAGACGATGGTACTGTTGAGCAAACTACATCTCGTTCAGGGTTCAGGGCTCTTAGCTGTTTAGGGGCCTGTTTTTGCTCGGTTTTGCAGGGGTTCGATGTTGGATCTCACAGCAGTGGCATCCTTTCGCGGTTCCTTGCTCTTGACATCTGGTACTATGTAAGCTGTGATCATGTCTCAGTCAGTATAACCCTAAAGCGTCACGTATCCCAATGCATTGCACGCAGCTCATTCGAAGTATGCTCAGGCACCCAAAAGTGTGAACCATAATTCTAGTCTTCCAAACACGCTCAGCTTTACATTTGCAGCTCGAACAAGGGTTGGAAAGGGTTCGATTCGCGAACCAACTGTTTAAGCTAAAAACTTTGAAATGTCGGAAACATACGGGACCTGAATATAGAACCCTAAACAAACGCGGATCCCCATTTGCAAGGACCCCCCAAAAGGTACCGTACTACACCTCTTTTTCTGGAAGTCTGCACGTCACCGGAGGTGCCAGAAGAAAGGGCCCACTGGCCTGAAGACGTCCATGCGCAGAAGAAGCCACAGGATATCCTCAAACGGCTTAGGATTTTGGGTGAGGTTAGGGTCTAGGGTTAGCTCCAATCAAGCCTGTGACCTGTGTCATACAGGGTGAGTTTAGGGCGTTTATCTTGAAGCCCGAAACCCCAAGTTTTGCCGTAAGGCGCTTGGTCCAGTGTTAGCGAGGCTTTGCAACAAGGATAGCAATTTGGTATTCAACATGGTGCCATATTTGGTACATGCAGATAAACAGAAGTACGTCTCTCTCTCTATATATATATAGAGAGAGATATGTATGTGTATATATACATATATTTATATATGTATGTATGTATGTATGTATGTATGTATGTATGTACACATACGTATCATCTGCACCTGGCTCTCCCGTGGAGTCCCGTAAGACCCCTGGATTTGCATATCACTCATTCCCTGAGGCTGCACATTATATACCTCCTCAACCTCGACTCCGTAATGAAGGGACACGCCCCCCTTACATTCGCTATATGACTATACCATAGTATACGCGAAAAGCCAATTTTGAATATAATGGGCCCTGTGGGAAAATCCCCGATAGAAACCTCTATATAGCTTATAAACCCCTACAAAGCTTGTTCTATTGTTTAAGACCCTTATCGCAGACCCTCATGGCAACCCTTGTAGTAACCCTTGTAGAACATGGTATAGGACCCCTCCACCATCCGAAACTTTACCCTCCAGAAACCCTAATCTACCAAACCCGAAACCTAAATCCTCCAGAAACTCTAAGCTGCTAAACTCTAAACCCTCATGCCATACACCCGAAAGGACTGGTGTGGCTCCCTGAAGCTCCTTCCAGAGTTCCTCGTCCAGCTGTGCCACTGTGTTTAGGTTTTAGGCTTTAACGGGGCACACAAAATACTTATAAAGGCTCCGATATGGGAGTTTTTAAAGCGGCGGTGCTACGGTGTCTTGCGTAATCTTATGTTTCGACACATCGCAGAATTTGACACATCTTGTTTTTGTGCCGGCATGCTGTATTTTTTGGTTTCTGCTAACTGCTGTGGTGATGAAACTGGCAATCCTGCTTCAAGCGCAGCGAGAGACCGGACGTGCGATTAACGGCAAGCGCAGACACAAACCTGTAAAACCTTGATCCCTAACCGAACATTCTGCGGCAGCCCCGGAATGAAGTGAACTCCGTGTTCCAAGTCAAGGCACTTTCAATTACTAATATGTGTTGTGATGCGTTTATGGATCAACATCCAGCAATGCTTCGACTCGACTCGAATGGATTAGCAAAAAGCCTTCACTTCCTTCTTGAACTGCTGCATTGTGTTCTGCTTCAATCATCAGTCCTACCTTCTGCTGCATTACTCCAAGCCACATGCTTCCATTCTGAACCCTAAACCCTAAATGTCGGACACTNNGTGTGTGAGTCGAAACCCTAAATCCTAACTCCTAAACCCAAAGCTGTGGCTCTGAGGCTTCAGAATTTGACGCAATTTTTGGCGCGCGTGAAGCATGCTTCTGCCAGCTCGGAGCCATCGTCCGAGCAGCTACGAGCAAGGCTTCGAAAATCAGTCGGGTTTAGGGTGCAGGGGGTTTAGAGTTTTGGGGGTTAGATACCAATACTTCCATGCCAGTGGAAGAAGTTGTTTCCAGATGCGAGGCTGCAACCTCAAATTCAGACAAATCCGGTGATTCACTATGCTTTCCTCGATGTTAGATCCTTGCATGATGTAAGTTAATTTAATTGCTTTGTGTAAAATGTTTCAGAGAGCATATGTATATATATATATATACACATCCAGTATACGTGTAACTAAGCAGCTCGATTACCTGGGAAGTTCATGTAAAGGTTTAGACACGTTCAAATCTTAAGCTTAAGAAATGCATGTGATTTTTTTACTTATATTCGATAATGCCTAAAAATTGATGGTTCAATTGTTTACTTCACTGACTAGCTGTAAACTCGCCCTGTCGTGCTCCCGCTCTTCTAGGACATGGTGGAGTTATACTGGCTTAAGCTCTTTATACAGGTTATTGCCCATTAATGCTTGGATTTGGTGCTGAAGTGGAAGAGTGGTATGCATTATTATACATCGAGTGTGGAATCTGATTTGCGGCACTTGCTTTACTAATTCATAGTCTTGGGTAATCTTTCTATGCATGAAGCAGATAAAGATACGGGTCTGTTCACCGAGATTTCAGAGCTCTTGATTGATGGGTAATCTCCAGGGGCCTAGCTGGCCTAAATCAGGAGAGATACGAGAGAATGCCAAGAGGCACCATTGGCTTTAGATGGGGTATTTTATATTATTTATGCCTAGAGATCTTGCTTGGGCGTTCCTGCAAATAAATAAGTAGATATATATATATATATACATGTGTGTGTTTTCTTTATTAGGGCATGACGATAAAGAATGAAATCAATTCATATATCTTTATATCAAGATCGGCGTTATTGAGGGAGAAATATATCTGAATTGATTTTTTTTTTAGGGAATGGAGGGATCTGGTCGGAAAAAATAAGAAATCCTAATTTTCGGAAACTCCCACACAGATTATAAGTGATATATATATATATATGCATAAAATTTTTTTCATATTTATTTTCTTATATTTCTTCGATCTGATTAGTTTTTTGAATTAATCTAACTGATTTTTTATTGATATTCAATTTTCTTTATGATATTTCGAAATATAAATGCAAATCTATCGAAATTTAATTAATTTCAGATAAGAATAAGATAATCATATAATATTAGATATTATTAAATTCTTTGATTTTGAAAAATTAAAGAGATGTCATAAAATCGATATATTTGAGATAATGTTTTATTATATATTATCATTGTATAATTACGCAATTGATATATATTTATTGAATTCGTGATTCATGATTTAATAGAATAGAATAAAATAAAAATATATCAAGAAAATTAGGATGGTTGCAGCTTTTCTAATATTTTAATTAGAAAAGCTTTGGATTTGATTCTATCTAATTAATTGATTTTTTTTATAATTAAAATAGAAATTATTTTTCTTTATATCCTTGAATATTTTAATCTATATAAATGCATTTCTATTTATATATATCATATATTTTTTAGATTATTTTATATCTATTTCTTTCATTTCTTCTTCCCTTTTTTCTTATTTCTTTTTATCTTTTTTTATATTCTTATTCTTTGCCTCTTCTTTTTTTATTCTCAATCTTTGTTTTTTCTCTTTTCATTCTTATTCTTTGCTTTATTTCTTTTCATTCTCATTCCTTATATTTTCTCTTTTCTTTCTCAATCTTTGTCTTTTCTCTTCTCATTCTTATTCTTTATCTTATTTCTTTTCATTCTTATTCTTTGCTTTATTTCTTTTCATTCTTATTATTTGCCTTTTCTCTATTCATTCTCAATCCTTGCCTTTTCTCATTTTATTCCCATTCCTTATCTTTTCTATATTCATTCTTATTCCTTACCTCTTCTTTTTTTATTCTGAATCCTTGCCTTCTCTCTTTTTATATTTTTATTCTTATTCCTTATCTTTTCTCTTTTTATTTTCATTCCTTGCCTCTATTTTTGTATTCTTATTCTTTATCTTTTCTCTTTTTATTCTAAATCTTTGTCTTTTTTTTTTATTCTCAATCTTTGCCTTTATTCTTTTCATTCTCAATTCTTATCTCTTCTTTATTCATTCTTATTCTTTGATTTTTTTATCTTTTTATTCTTATTCTTTGCCTTTTCTCTTTTTATTCTTATTCTTTGCCTTTTCTCTTTTCATTCTTATTCCTTGCCTCTTCTCTTATTATTCTCAATCTTTGTCTCTTCTCTATTCATTCTAATTCTTTTTTTCTCTATTCATTCTTAGTCCTTTCCTTTTCTCTTTTCATTCTTATTATTTGATTCTTATTTCTTTCATTCTTATTTCTTATTTCTTATTTTTTTATTCTTATTCTTTGTCTTTTCTCTTTTTATTCTTATTAATTAATTCTTCTCTTTTTACTCTTTTTTTTTTATTTTTTGTTATTCTATCTTAGCTATTCTTTTTTATTCTTATTCCTTATTTCTGCTTACTACTACTACTACTACTAGTCTTACTACTACTACTACTGGTACTACTACTACTACTACTACTACTGCTACTACTACTATTACTTTTAGTACTTGAATTACTACTACTACTACTACTACTATTACTTTTAATACTTATATTATTACTACTACTACTACTACTACTACTACTACCACTACTACCACTACTACTACGACTACGACTACGACTACGACTACTACCACTACCACTACCACTACGACTACTACTACTGAACAACAGCTGCTACGTCTTTCGTGGACCCGAATGGCTGAACCCGAAACCCGAAACCCCGGACCTTAAACCCTAGGCCCTAAACCCTAAACCCTAATCGCCCTAATACTACTACTACTACTACTACTAGTACTACTACTACTACTACTACTACTACTACTACTACTAGTACTACTACTACTACTACTACGACTACTACGACTACTACCACTCCTACTACTACTACTACTACTACTACTACTAGCAATAATACAGAACCTTTGATCAATCTGTGTTCTACGTATCATAGTACATCCTGTTCTTCTGCTCCTGAAACCACAAGATATCATTCCAATATATGAAATTCTTCCCATCCAAACTTCCAAACCCACTAGAAATTTATCGAAACACTAAAGCATTATCAAATATAGTATAGTTTCTCAAAGTATTTGCAAAATGTCATATTCTTTCTAATTCTCTATATAAAATTTCACTTCCCTCTATTCGCCGATCTCTTCTTATCTAACCTGCACTATCCCCGAAGATTCAAGGCTTGGAAAACCATATCGGCCATCATTGAATAGCTTGAAAAATGGAGGGTTCCACTGATTTCTCGGTCACAGAGCACAGGGCAACCGACTGAGTATCCGGACACACAGCAAGCAAACCAAAGCGGTGGCAGGGCAAAGCTGGGGTGACACAAGAAGCTGGCAGCTACCGCATGTGGACATATCGAAGCGAATCAC